GCAGTGATCGGTCTCATCTCAAACATGGTTCGTCTCATATATCTCATTTGCTTTTCCATCCAACTCTCAAGCTTCTCCACGTCGACAACGTTTTTCTTGCAATCCCCTGGTCTCCCTTGATCGGTTTCCTCAATTGCTTCCTGATATGCTGCATCAAGCTTCTCGGCTTCGAATCGGAATCTGTTGGCGAGCAGATGCAAGCGGTAGCTGGTCCACTGGTAGTACATCTCCGACAGCTGAGACTTATTTCGAACATTCATCAGCGAGGAGTCGTCCAACAGCACAGGATCCCGTGGCCGGAAAGAGGCCACAATGGTGATTCTCTCGGGCATGTTCTCGACCGGAATCGCCATGTGAGACACGTGTCTGCCCTGGAGAACCACCGCGCCGCCCTGTTCCCAGCCTCGTCAGTGGTTAACGCCTCAAGTATTGGGGCGCTCTGGCGATGAACTCACCATCTGCGGAGATCGGACTTTGACTGTCGTACCATCACCTCTTTGGATCTCGGTCTCGCCTCCTTTCATATTCCTCGTGTCGGACAACATAACGACGCAGACGAAAGGATATGAATCGCGATGCCAGGGGACAACTGACTCTTTGGCAGCCGCTGGAGGCTCTTCGGGCCCTTCCTGAATTGCTGACATTGTTTCCGCTGCAGGAGCACCAGGTGGGATAATCGGGATGTCTCTGACTCCTGCCAGACCCTCTGGCCCCAACTGGACGTTCGTGTGGCAGATCTCGAAGTCCATGACAGGGACCAGGTCAACTCCTGCTAGATCGCTGACTATCTTGAGAACCTCTGGAGAAGTCCAGAACTGATGAATGAAAGGAGCATATCTGGGGGCCATGCCACGGAGTTGAACCGATTTGTCCCGCGTATGATACATGCAGCTATTAAGGACATCATCAGACAGCAACTCTCGGCGGTGCTCAAGCAGAGCCTCTTCGGACAGCAAAGGGAATGGGTCGGTGGATGCGACTTGCGAAATCGGCGAAGGCGGTAGACAAAGATCTTCCAAAGTATGGATCTTTTTCGGCGGCGCATACGTAAGATGCTTCACAGGATCAAATGTCCGTCCGGATGATCTTGTGGGGTTTGACTTCAAAGCCAGTGCTGGTCCATCTATTGCAGGGTACTCGAGAATTCCCGGAGCCATGCTGTCTTTTGGTCGTATATCTGCTTGCGCGAAGGTATGTATCACTTGATCGAGTGGAGGAGTGAAGAGAGAGAGCTGGGAGAACAGACAGATCTTGTTCCAAGAATCGCTCTGTGATATTTGTACCTCCTGGAGTGCAGTACGGCCAAAATTCACGATGTGACCGCAATGGGATCACTGCGTGTCCGTTGGAAAGCGGCGCCACTTTGGGAAGAGGCACTATGCCATATTCGGGGGATACTAACCGCCCAGAGCCACCACGGCCTGCAAAGGCATTGGAATCCCTTACTTGGTATGTCAAAGTCTTGATTGAGGTATCTCTGATCAGCCTAGACACCCAGTTGTCAGCTTTGTCCAGGCTACAGTTCAGTCATGGCTCTTAGCACGTCGTCTGGTCAACCTCACTCGATGCTCAAAGAGGTTCACCTGTCCCCGTCAAACCCCATATTGCGCCCTACGACACCACAACATGACCTCTACCCTCTATCCGAGAACCTTAATCGTACGACCTGTATCTTGAGACTCTCTTCGTCGTTCGATGTTGAGCGACTCGACGCATTTGCCTGCGGTCATGTCCATCATCTCAAGGACGGCTTTGTCCGAGTGCGGAATTGTCAATCAATTGCAGATAAGAACACGCAACATCTTGACCTGTACCGCTATAGTCTACCTGGGAGTGTGACCAAGCTTACTCCATACGTCAGACCTACCCTCTCGAGGTGGCAGGCAAAAGCCGTCACCAATATGGCTCGACCACAACGCGCAAGAGGTGGATGTTTGACGTGTAAACAGAGGTAGGTTCTGTGGGTATGGGATGAACCCGCGGCTCGTACAAATACAACAACTAATTATCTACGGAATCAACCAGGAAAAAGAAATGCGATCTGGGGATCCCTTCATGCGAGAACTGCGTCCGTCTGCAGATCGCATGCGGAGGGTACAAGCCACGACTCCTCTGGGAAGATGACCCTGTACGACAAGGTATTAGGCGCAGAGGTCCTTCCTCGTCCCGCAGAGCTCATCTACACAGTAATATTGGGCACCATGACAAAGAGGCTCCGACGGCAAATACCGACGAACAGAACCAAGAGGCAAGCGTGTTGGTCCTAGACCTCGTGAATTGCACGTCACTCGCACTGCCTCAACGCAAGCAATATCGACTTACTCCTAGTTGGCAACGTCCTGCTACAATACCGCATCATCCCCCGACCACAATCGTAAACTCCTTCCTCGAGCATGTCCTCTGGGACCATTACATTAATTGCTTTGCAAGAACATATCCCACGCACTCAGAGACAGACAACCCGTTCCTGTCATGTCTCGCTCCTGCTGCGATCGAGTATGAGCCCGTTCGTTGGATTCTGATGGCAATTGCAGGACTGCATGCCAAGTCAAGGAATCTTCCGTCTTTGGACCACGAGATCTCTCATCTGCGACTTCGGGCGTTGAAGGCCTGCCTTCAGATTTCGAGCAGGACCCGGAGACTTGATACCCTAAAATCAAACCCAAAGGGTGACAGCACTTTCTTCCAGATTACAAAAGTGGAGGCCGACGATCTATGCCTTGTCACTACCGCAGCGTTGCTGGCCGTTTTTGGAAAGCTTTCTGGAGAAGTCTATGGCAACATACAACCCTATCTAGAGTTTGCACAAGAGTTTTTGTGCCGTGGAGGCACTGCACGAAATCAACAAGTGCCGTCTTCATCACCGCTTCACCTATTTCTGCACGACCTTGTTTCTTACAACCAACTCCTGGCGCTGGTGGCTGACGCAAGGTTGACCCCGCCGTCTTGTAACAGTCTTGAGGAGACCACATTCATGAACTTGTCCCACCGGTCAAATCCAAACTTCGCGGATCTACTCTATCGTATCAGCGAGAATGTCCAGCATGTCTCAACGCTTGACATCGATTGCTGGGATGGGAAATTGGACTTCCTCCCAAGCTTCAGCATGAAAAGGAAAGCTACAGAACATGAAGAGCCCTCATGCTCTACAATTGGCGTTGATGATGGTGCAAAGAAAGACGAAGAATTCGTCATAGGAGAAATCTACCGCCTCGCGAGCCGAATCTACTTCTTCAAGCAACTCAGGGACCGTGATGGCCTCCCCGAAACTACGACTACCCTTGCATATCCACCGTTCATGGCCCATAAACAGATCAAAAGGCACGTGAAGCGGGCCATGGGACTCTTTCGCTTGCTATCTGATGATTCGCAATTCAACACAGCCATATTACTGCCTCTTGGAATGATTGCTCCTCAACTTACTTCCCGACACGACCAGGCATTCGTCACTGAAAAACTGAAAATGCTTCAAAAGACACAGTGCTTTGATGTCTTTCGAGTGTTCAGCCAAGATCTTCAACGTGAATGGACACTTACCCAGCACTCTTATCGGTCAGCCTTCCTCACGACGAACGGACTTGAAAAGCCGGTGAGGTTACTTGGTTGATATTAGGGTCGAATTCGCGAAGTCTGAACCATGATGGAATTCTACTGTATTATAAGGTCTGAGGCTGCTGCTGCGAAAAATTCCAGAGATCAGCACACGACGACAAAACGCATGGTTTGTGTAAGACAGGAGATATGCTATATCTCTGAGAGAGGTCTTCCCAGCTATGCTGTGTGTCCGAAGCAGCAGATATTTGTGTGTAAAGGGAAACGAATAGTTGAAGAGCAATCGAATGGTCCAAGAGCAAAGCAATTAGATGGACAAAGAAGATCCGGGCGGTCCAAGGGTATCAGGGATGACCCAGATGACTGACGGGGATCCTATTAGCAGAGCCCATCCTACGCTGGTGTTGGGGATTGGTTATTAGCGCAAATCATCAGCGAAGAAACCCCGAACGGATCCTCACCCAGCTCACAAGCTGAGCAGGCAGGGCAGGCTAAGGCTTCGCCTCACTGACTCACTCCAACCGTCCCTTCAGCCACAGTGGTTAGCTATCGAGGATGAGCTGTTTGGCGCACGACGTGCCACGATCAGATCTCCAACATTGGGCGTCCTTACAACATTAAGACCCAACACACTTACGTCTACTAAGCGAGCCAATCACAACTCTCGGCGTCATGACTTGTCGATGCCAGCTGGCGATCCCTCACTGGTCGTTGGATGTCATATGAACTTCACACCGACCGCTCACGTACCTGATATTGCAGCATGTGAGTGTTTCTTTCGATGAGAGATTCATCGGCAAGATCACCGTCTAACATTATGTCTGCTGGAAGACCAGTGCAGACTGCGAAACATCAACACTCAATATGGCAGGATGTACCAGAAGATGCTTTCCGTCGAAGGATTGTCGCACTTTCTGCAGCAACTAAGGGTGTCCCGGGCGATGCGAGGTACTCGGTGTCACGGTCAGCCAGTACTCAAGACATACCTCCTGCGACAGGATCTCGGACATTATCCTTCAAGACAGAGCAACGCCTTGCAGATGACATTGCATTTATCTTGGCAACCCAACAGGGTGGTGACAGTATCACAGCTGTTTGTGTGGAGGAGATTGCAGAGCCTGCGGGTCTCATCATACGTGTTGCTGCAACTGAAGGGGTGCCAGGAGAAATCCAACGTTCTCTGGGTGAAATATGTGAATGCTTGATGTCTTGCGCAAGAAGTCGTCAGTACTGACACTCTCACTGGATCTTACATTTCTAACCATCCCACAGAGATGAGGCTCGAGAAGTGTACATCAACCTTATCTGACTTGATACTGGGTCTGTCACAGGAACGCATTTTGTCTCGCATGAGATTATTTCTCGGGGAACGTCCTTCGTCATCTCGTCCACGCAGAAGGGGGTCAATAAGTTCCTCGACATCTGGTTCCGAAAAGGCGTTGAATCGAATGCAAGCTGCCGCTTCTACACCCGCTGCCACCGACCTGGTCAGAAGACTGTTTGTGCTAAGGAGGATGGTCGAAAGCGTGCTGCACCCAGGAGCATCACAGCCGGAGTGGGGGCTGCAGGAGATCGTGAAGGAGAGCTTCAGCATCACCACCTCCGATGGACAAGTACCTTTCCGTCACAATCTCGAAAACGTCGGTTTGAATGCTCAAGAATGGTTCAACAACAAGTACATCACGCAGGTCGACAAGCTGGGCGCATATCACCGAATACCACAGACCTTGGCCAGAGAAGCCCGCAGGAGGAAGACGAGGGATCTGTTCTCAAATATCAAGTCGCTTTACATCGACCCATATGAACCTCGAACAAGCCCTATATCCCTCTCTGGAAAGAAGACCCTTTGTTACGTCCATGCAGAAATACAGATGGTTGTACATTATCTTCTCTCACCACCCCTGATACTGCCACGAGTCATAGGTACCAGCAAAGAAACATGCTTCCTCTGTCATCTCTTCACCAAAAGACTCGGTGCTTTTGTTGTGACCGCTACACATGGGCGTCTGTACGATCAGTGGACCGTGCCAGATCTTGCAGAGTACACGCCGGGACAAGTTGAAGCGCTGAGGGCGGTTATAAGGAGAATGAATCGGGATTGCTCGCTTTTGGGAAGGAAGAGACATTCACGGCGCGGTCAGCACCCCCTGACAAGCCGACAGAATTTATACGAGATGCCGACCTTTTCGCCCCTATCGACCTTACTGAGCGCACGGTTCGACACAGAGTCAAGCCTACTGCCAACTGCAGATGCAAATAACGCGGGCACCAGGGTCTCTTCCACGCGTCATTCAAGAGCTTCCGGTACATCAAGAAACCCAATCACTGCCAATGAAGAGTCCGCACCACGGTCTGACGGCGGGACAACCACAACAACAGACTCTTGGTGGAACTCGAGTCTGAAGACAGAGACACGAACGCACAGTGGAAGCGGTACGCCAGGACAACCACCTTCTCAGGGCCCGGTCGTGAGCGATACCCACTCTGAAAGCACAGTGACCAGCTCCACACTCACGTCAAACAGCCGCGGCCCCATTCATATCAGCTCGGACAGGCCTCATCTCATCAACCTTCCGGGCCTGGATGTCGTGGTTGAAATCCAGCCCCCGCGTAATGGGATAGTAAGCTTGAGAACAGGCAGCGAGATTGATAAGAGTGCAGCAAGTCATGGTGTCAAACTCGAAGATCTCCGAGCTGGAGACGAGTTGGACTTTCAGCGATCCGAGCACGAAACTTCGGTGATGCTTCGCTTGCAGGAAAATGGCGGTGATTTGTGCTGTATCGTTCTGGAGTGGACATGAATGGTGATTCGACACTATATTCGGTACATGAATGGATTTGGGGCTGGCAGGGACCGAGCATCTATCGCATCGAAATGACTTGCTATCCTTGCAGGAATAGCCAACCTCGAGCCTGTTTCTCCTTCCCAATTTGTCAAAGGCTGACCCTTGCCCGCTCTGCAGCCAGAGTTCAGTCTCTTAGCAAGTCTATTTTGAAATATTGTACATGGAGCAGACGATATCACAAATTGGAACAACTTGCAATACCTCTAAATTCGACCACGCGTCGTGTAGGCGTACAGAATGATGCGAGGGACCATTTGGGCGATTCCCGAGGGACGCCTACACATCGTTCCCGCCAGATTTCTTCTTGCTCTCCTTTTTGGGCAGCCTTTGGAACCCCATACCGAAGCTCGTTAGAAACGCAGCAGATGAGGCCCCGACAGCGATATACTAGGTCATGATTAGTTCAGGTGGCGCCATCCCAGAAGCAAGCTGTTGTAGGGCCTCAAACTCACGAATGTGGACACGAGGGCGTGGTTATACGCGCGGAGGACGCCTTCGAGCTGACTATGGGGCACGCTCGATCGCACGGCGGCAGCACCCACGTCGATGACGCTCTCGGGATTGATACCCGGGACATAAGTCCTCAGCGACGATCGCAGCGAGTTTGTGAAAATCGTCTCGGCAACGGCGAGAAAAATGGCTCCTCCGAGGTACTGCCAAAAGAAGATCTGCGAGGTTGCTATTGAGACTTCCTTTGGCGGCAAAAGGTTCTGGATTGCGGTGAGTGGCTAAGGTATGACAGTCAGTCGAGACACGCTGAACATTGAAGAAGGTCCTCACCATTTGTACCACGGAGCCTCTTCCCATTCCTGCAAGTATCTGGTACCCGATCCAGGGTCCAGCGCCAGTGGAAGGGGTGAATGTGGTCATCAGCCCGGACCCAATGGAGGTCAGAACACAACCGAGAAGTGCCCATGGTGTGTAGTAGCCAACGATCTGGACTGTACGACAGTGAGCGAACACTTTCTCAAGATACAAGATGCGGCAGCCCACCTAGCTTCCCAGCTGTTATGCCCCCTATGGCCTGCGCAATGGCAGTCGGAAGTACCATTACCCCACTCATTAACGGGCTTTCGTCCTTGACAACCTGAAACCACACCGGAAGATAGTAGCTCAGCGACAACAGGGCGCCGATTTGAAGGAACGAAGTCAAACACCCAAAGATCACAAGCCGGTTCTTGACAATTGCCGGAGGTATCATGGCCTTTTCGCCCTTGAAAGTCTCCCAGGCAACAAAGACGGCGGTTGTGCCAGCCGCGCCACAGAAGAGGCCGATGATGACGGAGGAGTCCCATCGGTACTGGTTGCCACCCCATATCATTGCGAGGAGTAACATGACACAGGCTGGGGCGAAGATAACAAATCCCATGAGATCGAGCTCTTTCGTGACGATGGCTTTGAAGTTGGCCCTCACGGGCTGCTTCTTGATCTGTTCGGGAATTGGCAACAAGATGAGGGCGCATATCACTAGGCCGCTAGGTGGTAAATTGATATAGAAGCCTATGAACATCAGCGGACCTGAGATGAGCAATCAAGAAGAAACCACTTACACCATCTCCACGAGACATTTTGTGTCAGAGCACCGCCAACCAGAGGCCCAATGACGGTCCCAACCCTACACAGATGTCGTCAATACTATCGCCACATGATGGTTTCCTCAGGATTATCAAGAATAATCCAGAATGAAGCACTTACGATGACAGGCTAATAGCAATACCTATGAGTACTGAAATCGATGTCAGTTATATGCACCCTTTGTGGAAGGATCCATGATGATGTTCTCACAAGGCCGATTGTCCTTGGAAGCCACCGCAGCTATTACGGCAAAGGCTCCATTGATAATGCCGGCACCACCACACCCTTGCACAGCTCTGCCGATGATGAGGGCCATGGATGAAGGAGCAGTGGCGCAAACCAGAGATCCGATCGAAAAGATGGCAGCGAATGTGAGATACGTGTACTGAACGACTCGTGAGCAGCGCGGAGCATTACAGCAGGATGCTTCTACTCACTTTGATAGGGAAATGGGTATAGATTCTGCCGACAAGAGGTTGCATCGCGCACCTGTGGTGAGATTAGACACTTGTCCGACCAGAACACAGACAGGAGGACTCACGTTGTCACCAGATAAGCACTTCCGTACCAGCCAATGTCTTTGAGAGAGTTGAAATGTGTTGTGATTTGTGGAATGGCCTACATCTCATGCATCAGCATGTACCTCATCTCACAGAATCAACGTGCCCCTAGCTTACCGTCGAAATAATCGAACCGTTGAGGGCCATGAGCAGGGTCGAAATAAACACTGCGGCGAAAAGAATGTGTCTTCGAAAACCCAAGGCATCTGTTGAGTCTGATTCTTTTTCTTGACTCCCCTCTGTAGGAGATGATTCTTTTGTACTCGTGCCGTCCATTTGCGTCGTCTGCTCGGTGGTGCTGGTGTCACCTTCGAGGCTAACAGCCTTGTCGCTCTCCGGTTTTACGTCCTTGGACGAGGCCTCAGAAATGGCCAAAGATGTCATTTTAGATCTTTCCTATTAGCTGAATGATTCTGGGAAGACAATACGAGTCAATTTTTCTCCTTTTATGCCTTCATTGCGTCTACTGGATGCTGCTCCGTGTCCGATCTATTTACTCGACCCACTGAGGAATTACTCTGATTGGCTAGATGCGCGTGGCAAGGTTGAAAATGACGTCCAGTCTGACAGTCCATTTCCCCGCATAAAACGAGCCTTGAGGCACAGAATCTGACGGTCAGACTAACTTAATTCTTCACCTCAGTCAGCCGATCGCTCGGCATCGGAATTTCCGTTCCTGCGGCCTGTACTTGATTCACATCCTTCTTGTCCCCAGAGTTTGCTTTGCTCCTTCGGACTAGACTGTCGGAGAACCATCTCTTTCTTTTGTCCCCGTTCGCCCTGATGCTTGTCATACCAGATATCCCGGTACGAATGCCACGGTGTGCGCGGTATGCCCCAATCACCGAATCAGGGAAACGACCTCAGTGGCGTCCGCGCTCCGAGAGCCTGTGTGCCATGTGCCGCCGCCAAAGTACGATGTGAGACTGAGAATGGACAAATATTCTGCAAGCGGTATGGTAGAGTCGACACTCGCGCAGAAAACCGGTAGCGGCTAATAATGCGTGGGGTTAGGTGCCTGAGGCTGAAGAAGGCATGTCGCGCACAGCCACCGGGCGCACACAGGCGCAAGCCTCGACAGGAATCGTAGGTGATGATCTTCAGCTTGATATCATGCGACTCTTTCGGTTGACGGATATCCTGATGTCCTTCGGATTAGAGATGTCACCCGTCTAGAACAAAAGCTCGACGGGGTGACGGCGATCCTGACTGCCTCTCAGCTTGGAGCCTTGAAAGCCACCGACAGCCCGCTGCAACTGCCCACCGTGCCATTGCTCTCCTTGACCACATGCTTCGACCAGTTTATCAAGAGCATGGATGAGGCGCGACTGATGTTGGACGTGTTCCGGAACGAATTCATGCCTTATTTCCCGTTCGTCGTCATCCAACCGCATACGAGTCTGGAGGAGCTTCGGGAACGAAAGCCCTTCCTCCTGATGGTGGTTATGTTGGTCACTTGCCGACACGATATAACACGACAGACGGCGTTGGGGAAGACGCTCAAAGAACTCATCGGCCAGAAGGTGATGACTCACGGTGAACAGAGCCTGGACTTGCTACAGGGCCTTCTCATTTACCTGGCTTGGTATACTCACACGTCGTACCCATCGAGGCAGCGAGGTTGAACTAACGTCACAAGGTATAATGTAAACATCCACCTCGGAGGCCAACTCACAGTCATCGTCCATCTGGTCATGTCGGTGATGATTGATCTCGGCCTGAACAAGCACTATGTCCCTCGAAAGTATGCGAAGCCTCAAAGGGACTATTTCCGCTTGGACCGACAAGAGGGAGCAAGGGAGACGCTGGAGGACCGTCGAACTTATCTTGGTTGCTTTTACTTGACCTCTCTGTATGTATCCCATTGAGGAGATCTGTGAAGCCGCTGATGCCAATACTCGAATTCCAGAATATCGATGACTGCCCGAGATTTCGAAGCCATCCGATACACCAAGTACACTGAAGAGTGCTATACGATAATATCCGAAGCAGCTGAGCTTCCAAGCGACATCTACCTTGTCCAGCTCACCAGGCTAAGCTATTTTGTCGACAAAATAAGCCGTACAATTATCCAAAGAGATTGGGATCCCTCTTCCAGTATTTCTGCTCCAATCGGAGCCTACGTGAAGTCACTGGAGGCTGAGCTGCGCAAGTACAAAGCTTCCATGACGCTTGATATTGCCCAAAGTGGTGAGCTTCAACTTCCTACAGAGACAACATGCCTGCCTTGCTAATGATAAGAAGTGCTACTTCTCATGCACTACCACGCGGTCGAGACATTTTTGTGCGAGATCGCTCTAGATGAAAATGTTCCTGCGTCGAGATACGGGTCATTCTCCACCACGCGTCTCGACCTGCTGTTCGCTTGTCTCACATCTGCAAAGAATTTCTTTGAGCTCTTCCACTCGTTGCCTTCCTCGATATATTTCGACCTCCCATACTGCATATTTACCATCGTCAGCCACCTCTTTGTGGACTTGTCCAAACTTGCTCTCTGTCAGCATGAGGGCTGGGACCAGAACTACGTTGCGTCATGTCTAAATTTTGGCGATGTGATGGACCGGCTCTCGAAGAAGACCAAAGAAGCAAGCGAGTTTCTCCAAACCAACCAGTCGGCGGCCGAGGCCACATCTTCACAAAATACTTTGCCGCGCTGTGTACCACCGATCTGGCTGACGGTGCCGGCCAAGATACAAGACATCAAGGCCGTGCACGAGGCGAGGCGAGCAGAACAATCCAGAAAGGCTCAGTCAGAGAGTCAGGATTGTGACGTCGGAGTCGAATTACCCGGACTGCCGTTCGAGTCTGCGCTGCTGCCAGATACTTTCAGCTTCTTTGAGTGTCTCGACGAACCGTTGTGGCAGAACTGGGCCTAGAGCTCTGTCGACACTCGTCACGCTGGATGCATTTGTCCTTTGTGGACCATGATCAGTTAGCGGTGCAACATCTGGATTAAAATCTCACGAACCACAGCGCTGAAGATCTTTGACTCTTCTTATACCCAACCACAACCCGTTTCATGGAAGTAGCACTGAATGCAGTCAGGTCAGCGAGGAACTTCCCATGCGTGATGCCCTCAGATGGCCATCGTGTGGATCAGGCTTGAAAGACCTGATGAGCCGCAGATACCTAGACATAGGATCGGGCATCGAAACCACACACTTGCGAGTACTAGACTTGTATCGGTGGGGTTTTCTGGAAAGGGGAATGGGATTTGTCGGCTTTGGCTACAGACGTGTACGAGGCACTGAAAGTGGCTAGCAGGGGTGAGTAGTGTGAACTTACAGCATCGCTTACCAGCTCTGGGCTGATCTTGATGTTTTCTCCTCGAAGGCTTGTTTTCTGCGCAAGCTGAGGTTGTGTCTAACTTATTTGAAAGACCACCGAAGCATCACTGGGGATATTTAGCTCGAGAGGCAGATGCCTCTTCATCCAGCCCTCAATTATTGCAGCATTCAGGACATGTTCCAGGGAGATTCCGCCCGCCGCTCAACTACCGGCCGGTGTGGCTTGCGATTTATCGGCTGAAGCAGCCCTGCGTCAAACAAAGACAAAAGCCACAAGCGAAACATGGGCCTATGAGCGAGGCAGAAAAATTCAAGGGTTCTCAGCTCCAGACCGCTGAAGAACACGGCCTCGCCAATGACAATCACCTCCAAACAAGGAAACCGCTCTGGCTATTCCTGTTTTGCCCAGGCGACATGTCGGCACACCTGGCGCTGAACACGTGGTGTGTCAACGGTTGCCCGGTTATCAAGGGCCGTGCCCTCGTGAAGATGAACTAGGTAGCTGCTCGATCGCCATGATGCGTCTGCGACTGTCGACGCCACGAAAGCAGGACGAAACTCATCACCCGTCGCAATGAAGGTCCTGTTTATCGAATGTGACGGCGAAGGGCGGGCCCAGAAGAGTGTCTCTGACGAAGGAGTGACCCGAACGCAACATGCCGCGCGCGAATATCACAGAAAGGCCAAATTGCGCAGGGCCAAAACCAAAGCCCAACACGCGCATGGCGCTCGCAAGGCGAACAAGTCCAACTCCACGACCTCGACAGATGAGTCAGCGGTCCTGGAACTGAAGGCCAAGCGGGAATCGCCTGTCAAGATCCTGCTGGGCGCAAGTCGATCCGATCCATTCCACACCATCGGCGAGACTGGGGCCGTGCCACTTTACGTTCACGAGATGCTCGACCATGCCATCACATGTCACTGGACGGAGATGTGTCTGTCGGACGGCGGAGGAGTCAGCGCCGCCAGAACCGAGATCATGCAGTCTGTCATCCACTGTCCAGTGACGTGGTACACGATCGTCTTTGCGGGCGCTACCCACAATGCGTACCAGTACGGGGATCGAGGAACGACCAAGCAGAACGAGCAGCTCAGGCTCACGTACAAGTCCAAGGCCATCAGGTCCCTCCTCGACTATATCCAAGAAAATGGCGACAACGTGTCTGAGGAGGCCCTTCTAGGCATCATTACGCTGGCCTCTCACGGCACGGGCGAAAACTTGAAGGGCCACGAGTCTTACAGGCGACAAACCCTGCCTTTCCTGTCCCATCTCCATGACGTTGACTACTACGCAAATATGGACACTGGCATGGAACATCTCAATGCCGTGTATGCCATTGTGGACCGATGGGGAGGGCTGCGCACGCTACGACGGAAGAGCTTGGCCATTGTCATCCAAGTGTACGTACCAATAACGATTCCCTGAGTGTTGCGAGGTGAGACTAATTGTAATTTAGGTGCGACATCCTCACCTCCTGGAGGGAATTGCAGCATCCTCACTTCAACCTCGTGATGCCGACAACGTGGCACATCAACAAGAGGAGCCATCACCCGGACGCGGCTGCACAGGCGCTCCTCGAAACTCTGACGACGGGCTTTTACGAATTGATCAACGATGGGTACTCCAGCCTCGACAGTCTCGTAGAGGTTGCCGACCGCACGAGCATCTTTTCGGCCGACTTTGATCAGCTATTGAGGTCCTACGGTCTCCCGGAAGAGCAACAGCCTTTGCACACCCCGAACATGGCCCTCGTCAGGTACATGCGGTGGTGCGTGCTCCACGACATGCTCTCGCTGCCCGAGCACGCCACCACCGGGGACAAAGTCGTGGCCGAGCATGTCGTCTACGAGCTCTGCCGACATATCTTGTTCGCGTACGCCGTGTTCGTCATCGTGCCCATGCCCCCGCGGACAATGCTGCAGGCCAAGATCGCCTCACGCCTCGGACGCCTCCTGATCAGTGCGGTGAAAGTGGGCATTCCCAGCCGCCATGCCGACCTCTTCCTCTGCGCGGTCGCATGGGGCTGGATGTGCACGGACCAGGCTGTCGGGTACCGCAAGCGCGACAAGCTCCTCGGCAGTTTCGCTACGCTGCTCGAGTTCGCCGTCGTCCCGCGCAAACCTGAGTCGTGGCCCGTCGTCGAGGAGGCGATGAGGTCGTTCTTGTGGTTTGACACGTATTGTGAGGAGCCGGGGCGGAAGTTCTGGGAGGCAGCATGTGAGGTGGTGGAGGAGGGGGGGCAGGACATTAAAGCCGAAGATGAAGAAGAGGGGGAAGCAGAAGAAGGGTTCGCTTGAGATATCTCCAGATTTGGTGGCGGTGGTGGTTCTTGGTCTAGCCTGTGAGATGGTTCCGAGTGGGCGAGGAAATGGGTGTTGATGCAATAACAACAAGTGAGCACCTCGTGTTTTGAACGCATCATAGTTTCTGAAGATGGCTTTGTGCATCTAGGTAGCTAGAGCGGCGTATCTCATAATGGCCCTCTAAATATACGAATCCTGGCTACTAGGGAGATATTGCCCTCGACAAAACCTTGTCGTGTAACAAGTCCACCGACCCCATCTAACTAGTCTATCATGACAACAAACTAGACAGAATCCTCATTCTTTCCGTTTACCGCCACCAGCTAGCTGGCCTTGCTAGTCTCTGCCATTTGTCTCTTCTACCCATCT